GAAAGCAAAGCTCAGTGCATAAAATCTCTTAGGAGACTCGGCTGAGTGTGATTAAAAATAGCAAAATGAATACTTTGTAGAATGAATGGCTCAATGAAGATTTAGAAAGAGGGACCATACAAGCCACAAAACTGCACCTAGCAGGGCCTATGTGAGCTTCCTTTTCTTACCTGTTTCTTTCTAAACATTCCATATGGGCAGAGAGGAGTCATTTGTCAATTTTCAGCAGAGAGCTGTGAGGTCACATTTCTGTATCAGAAAGCTCCCCAGCTGTGGTTTGGAAGGGGGTTCATTTGAGAAGGGAAATGAAGACTCCAGGTTTTTTTTTTTTTTTTTAAATGTATTTAGGACAAGGACTCCAGTAGTCCTAGAGCCCTTGCGTGGCCTGTGGTGCTTGCTGGTCAGGGATCAGGAGTCGCCTCCCTGTGCCGTGATGTGCAGATTGACACAGGCGCCTCTGTCAAAGGCCAGCTGGTGACCACCACTCTGCCTGCCCTCCCAGGGTATTATTGGTCACAGACTTCATGTGGACAGGATCACTACTGTCCAGATGTGCATTCCCAGATCTGACCTCGTTTGCGCAAATGAGAGACTGGTGTATCCATCAGAATGCTGGGTTCCCATTTAAAATAAGAAACCCTGGGCTGGGGAGCTAGCTCAGTGGTCTGTGCACCTGCCTGGCAAAGCGCAAGGACCCAAATTCGATCCCCAGTACTGCATGCTGTGCCAGCCCTGAAACTGGGCATAGTGGTGCAGGCCTATAATCCTAGCAATAGGGAGATTGAGACAGGAGAATCACTATGTGTCTGAACTGCATAGTAAGATCCTGTATCAAATACATAAATAAATAATTGAAAAAATAAACCCAGCTACCAGATGCATAGAATGCAAGCATCATGAAGCCTAACAGAACTTCCCAATCAGGATTGCTCGTGCGTGAAGTCGTAAGCAGTGGGCAACCAGGAACATCGGTATGCAGGAGCCAGGCACAGAGTCGCAGTGGTGGGTCTGATCTCCTGGTGATGAGGCCCGGTGGCAGGGTTTCACCCACTGGACTCCTGTCAGAATGGTTTGTTAGGTCAGGCAGTGCTTGCCATATGTGCTGCTTCTGCCTGCTTTTGTTGCTTGTTTTTCCTGCTTTAGCAGCAAGAAAATGAGAGGTCGGCTCCTGGTTATTTGTAGTAAAAAATAAAACTTTCATTTCTTGTAAAAATAATTTCTTGTATTTGGATTTAAACTATTGCTTATAGGCCAGGGAGATAGTGGCATAAGCTCCTGCCTGGCAAGCACAAGGTCCAGAGTTTGATCTCTGGTACCTAAATAAACAAACTAAACTACTGGTTAGTGTTATAATAATTTAAATACCATTAAAATGACATTTAAGAAATTCAGGATAGCAGGTGATTACTAGGAAAGGTTTGTTTTCAAACAAACAAATACACCTGAAAACTCAGTGTTGGAAAGGGTTTAAAATGATTATTTTATTTCTTCAACCAACTTTTCTTCTCCTTACCTGCCATATTCTGAAACTTCAGGCTTGTTTTTTCCTGTAAATTTGTTGTCAGGGAATGTGTCAGTCTGCTTTGTGCTACTTGTTAAGTAATATATGTGGTCTTTGTTCATTCGTGCAAGAAGCATGCCGGGCACAGTGCTGCATACCTGGAATCCTAGTGCTCAGGATTCTGAGGCAGGCCCGTTGCTGGAAGCTTGCAGCAGCCTGGAGTATGAGACCCTGTCTTAAATGAAGCAGTACGTTAGTGCTTTATGTGTGGAAATACAGAGTTGAACGAGATCCAATTGCTGCCCTTCTACTCTGGCCTTTCTGGCTTTAGGAAGATCCTCAAGCTATAAGGACAAAAGTTAAGACACATGCAGTTGATACTAGAGATGCCAGCAGATGTGTGTTTCCTGTGTGACAGGTGATAGTGGTTATTTCTTCTGATGGAGAAGGTGGGGACATGTCTCCATGGGACTTTAGGTGAAGAAATGTTCCTGGATGTTCTTCCCAAGGGGAGAAGTGTGAGGAGGGGTCAGAAAGCCTTGTGTTTGGATGGGGAGAGTTTTACTTTTCTTGTTGCTGAGAGAAAAAACCCAGCACCCACTCATTAAGGGAGAAAGGGTGGGTGACTGCAGGTAGGTGTCGTGGCAGAGACACCGCAGAGGAGGAACAGTTCATGGTAGAGGGAGAGTAGGAAGCAAGTGAGGGACAAGACAAGCCTTCTGTCCCTTATATCATATCCAGGCTATTGGAAGGAGGGCAGTGCCAAACTAATCAGTGGACTCATTTGGCAATCACTCACCCTTAGGCCTAGCATCCTTAACCCTGGCATTGCACCAAGAGTCAGTCATGCGCTCTTGATCCAGCCACCTCTGTAAAGCCCCACCTGTGCCTGCACGAGGCTTGTTGGGGCACATCTAGGCACCAGCCATAACAGGGAGGAAACAAGCAAGACGGTGCAGCCTTGTGGACACGGTCCCTGTTACGTCAAGGAGACAGGGTGCTCCGGGTGGAGGTGCTCCAGGACGGATTTTATGCCAGGTTTGGATTCGGAGCGCATCTCCCCAGTCACAGGGTATGTCAGAGCGGGAGTAGCAAGTGTGAGACCTGCTAGATGCTAGGAAGCACCCCGCCAGCTCTCGGGCGCACCTCTGAACTGTGCTCCTGCCTGAGCCCTGCTCGTCTGGCCTCTCCTGGTCCCTTCCCATGTCTATCATGGTGCCCTGAGCGCGTTTAACCAACGCTCTTGGTGATGGTTTCCGTGGTGTGAAATGTGGGTAATTATATTCACTTGCCTCATGGGACTTCTCCTTAATATTTATAGCTGCAAACTACTTTGCAGTCATTTTTATTAATAGTTACCAGATGTGTTGTAAGGATTAATGAACTTATGATCTGAAATGTTTTGAGCTCCTGAAATAGAGGCGATGCCTGCAGAGGGGGTGTGAAAGAGCATTAAAATGCAAACAATACACAGCTGTTATGTGTGAGCAAGTGGCACAGTTGAGGTTCCGGCATTCTCTGCGGATAAATCTGGGACCCCTACAAGACAGCTGCGTTCATCCCTGCTCTCCCTGGAGTGGGCGGCCTGTGTGCATGTGTACACATTCCCGGTGATGCCAGTGACCCAGGCTCTCCTCACCCTGGTCGTTGTCTTTCCAGTTTCCCCAGCCTCTGTAGCCAGTTGCGTTTCCTCTTACTGTCCAAATTCAGTAAGTATTTGTCCACTGGTAGTTGGAACCTGTGTTATGGACAGTTTGGTCCTGAAATTCATTTTAGCACATATTTATTAAGTGTCCTGGACTTTATAATCACAGGAGTCTCCTGGAGGGAAAGATGGTATCTTTTTAGAAGAGGTTCTGTCCTGCATCATCACCCCTCTGTCCCTGGTGCTGTTCCTACAGTTTTATGCTTGGGAAGGGTTGCGCTTCACCTCAGTAGGAAGGGTCAGCTCCTGGTCTTAATAAGTCAGATGGAACTGGAGTCCTAGTATGAGATTTTTTCTGTCTTTATGAAGTGATGGCTGAGCAGCTTCCTGTCTGTGTGAGGCCTTAGACACTGTGGGAGGAACACAGAGACGGCAGCCTCTGCCTAGCACTGTGTGGGGCCGCGAGGCCCAGTGCAGGAGCATGTGAGAGGCTGGGCATCCTTGGGAATCTCTGAGTACCACAGAGCCATGGGTCTGGGCCACAGCTCTCTGGCCCAGGAATCAGGAAGCTGCTCCAGCCCTAATGCTAGAGGTGGTACTCATCCTGCAGGCCCCTCCCCCTGCTTCGTGGCTATCACAGAGCTTTTCTGGTAGTGGCCCCTGCAGAGCCCCCTGTGGGATGGAGTGATGTTCCCTTAGCTATCCCTTCTTCCCCAAAGCTTCTTCTGCTGTGATCTCCTCACACCCTCGCCGCTGGCCTCGACTTCAGTCCTGTCTGTCCTCATCCTCTCCTCTCCGATATTTGTCTTCCTAGCAGCACTAGGCATACATGGTCATGTGGCTGCCTTCACTGACGCAGGGCCCCATGCCTGCACCTCTGGCTGGCGCCTGGTGTGGGCTGTCTTGTCCCCTACACTCTTCTCCTCCAGGTGGGTGAGTGGGACAGGAGAGAAGACCACAGCCTGGCCTGAGCTCTGCCCAGATGGTGGCCTCTTGTGGGAGGCTCAGGTCCAGCTGTACGCTGCACGCTGCAGTAGCCACAGCCGGGTACCTTTCAGGTATGAGATCTCTAGTGGAGCAGCCACCACCCTCCATCCTCTGTGGCCCCAACAAAGGGGGAGTGACCTTCCTGTGCTGGGGAAGAGCCCTCGTTCCTGAGCTCACAGACCAGAGAAGGGTGCTGGGAGGAGCTGAGCCTCGTGTGCCAGTTGCTGTGTCCCATACAGTTGAACCCAGTCACCAAGGCCCTTTCCTTATCCTGGCTCCCATCATTTTTGTCTTTTTCCTTTAATCTTCCTTGAACCCATCTATAACTCTGCAAGGCACAAAGTCCTCTCTTGTGGCCTTGTTTATACTCGCGATCCCAGGCTGTGCACACCTCCGGGCTGCTCTGCTGCTGCTGTGTCACCTCAGACTGTGTTTCTCCGGCCAGCTAGTGTTCTGCTGAGTTTTAGCTCTCCTCTGCCATCTCTGTTCAGAAACCTGGTGGCGACCCTTCTCCATTACCTGGTTAGGTTAATTTCACGCCTGCAGCTTCCTCTACACCTGTCCTCAGGCCAGGTAGCCTTCTTGGGTTCCCACTTCCTGTGGTGACATGAGCCTGCTGTCCATCTGGCTGTACCACGCAGCCTGTAAGGGTTGGACATTGTGACTGCAGAAAGGGAGCTCGGCCTGCAAGTGCCCACGTGTGGCAGTGGCAGTGGACTGAGCAAGGGTCTTGTCTGCCTGGCTGGGCCCCTTGTTCTCCCTGTGACCTAGTCAGCAGGGCCCTGCTGACGCCTCTCAGTCTGTGCAGTGGACGCCTGTCTGATTATCCTGGTCCCTGATCCCTGACCGGCACACTTTTCTCCTCAGCTCGTGCCCCGAATCCTGGTGCAGGCCCCTCTCCCGGACACCCAGGTGGCCAGGATAGAGGAGGTGAGTCGCTGGGCCGGGGCTGTCCCTTCACGGTGCTGGTGCTGGTGCTGGTGCTGGATTGCTCTGTCTACACCTGTGCTGCTTTTTCTTCTTCGCACTCCTGTTTACTAATTAGCTCCAGTATAGGTCACTGTCTTCTCCCTCCACATTTTCCATGTTACACTTTCTATTTTCAATGTGTTAATCATATGATTGCTAAACTTTTGGGTGCTTGACTGCTAATGTAGTCTGTGCTTTAATGGCCCACTGCTAGGCAGAGGGGATTTCTATAAACAGAATGATCTCCTTCTCCTAAGTGTTTGCTTAATTCTCAGTTTTGCATTTCATTCTGATTCATGATATCAGCGTGAAAAGACTAATGCTAAGCTAGAAGAAAATAGTCTCTTATGACCTCCCACGGATCAACAGCACTTCTGCTCTTATGAATAGCAAATCTATTTTTTCCCACCGTGCTTCATTCTCTTAGGAAATTCTGGCTCTTCACAGGAAGCTTTATTTATTAGAATAATAGCAAAATCTCCCCAGTAGTCCCAAGGGACATTCACACCTCGTGTCCTCCTGTTTCCGAAAGGCCCTTTCACCAGGTACTTCTGAGGCTCGTGAGCTCCCTGTGGTCTCCACAAGGGTCCCTCCTCAGAGTGTAGGCTGAGTGCCCTGCTACAGGTGATGCTAGCAGGGACATGTGTGCCCCTAGTGCCTGGGCTGATGGCTCAGCTGCTATCCAGGTCTGGTGGCTTCCCCAGAGCCCTCTGGAAACATCTCCCAGTGACATCAAAGACAGCAGCTTGGTTTCAGCTGGCCCATTCGAGGCAGCCTGGGGAGCAGTGCCAGGGCGCTGGCTTCTGCCATCTTGCTGCCTACCACTTGGCCCTCAGCCCTGGCTTTCTCCTTCCTGGGTCCTTTGGCTTCTAGGGCCACGATATAAATGGATGTGTGGAGACTCTTTCCGCCTTCCGCCGGCCACTCCTGGGATGGGACAGACTAAGCTGTGGGTGCGAGGAGGGGCATCAGGGTCCTGCTGGCCAGTGGAGGGGGTCTCTGCTGTGGCTGAGTATGTGTCTCCTGGCCAGTGACGCCAACACAAAAGGGAAAGAAATGCGTAACACATGCAGGGCGTGAAGGCGCTTGAGAGACTGCCTAATCTTTTAGAGTGTGTATGCCGATGGCAGTTCCTGATCTATTGGAGTGAGCACATTCTGCAGCCCCAAGATCCATCACAAAAACAGGCTGTTAATCTCAAGAGGTGCCGTTAATTTCATCCCCTGAAAGTGTGCCTCGCAGGGACGGGAGACTTCTGAAAACGGGTGTAAATGACAGCTCGCGGGAAAATGCATGATTTATCAAACTGCGGCATTAGGCCAAAGAACTGTAAGAGACTCATAGATCTCAGCTATTTCCTAGTTCGAATAAATCCTGTATTTCAAATGGAAAATGACCATTCCTGTAATACAAATAATTTTCCGTAAATATTAGAAGACATATTTCTTCTGAGCAGTGCCCACTGTCTCGTTCTTGTCCCCGTTTTCTGGACACTGAGCGTAGGGAGCAGGAGGGTAACTGGCCAGCTGCCTCTGCCCAGTTCAGTTGGCACAGTGGGATTTGGACAAGTGGTGGCTGCCATTGTGCCCCTGAGACATGGCTTGGTGTGTATCTGCCTGGTGGCATGAGGGGTGCGCCTGCCCTACTGGCCCCTACTCTGTCTTCTGTTGGTGTCCCTTTGGGCCACAGGGCTCTGATACGGCATCAGCCTTTCTCAGCAGCCAGAAGGACAGCCACTTCACAGAAGGCCTGGCCAAACCCTGAGACAGGAGGGACACACCTTCAGATCTGCTGAAGAGACCATGCTTTTGATTTTACCGAAGAAAGTGTTCTTGGGGCCTTTCCAGGGTCTCCTTGTGAACTCACCGTGGGCAGAGTTGGGTTTCACTGGAGTGAGGCCCTTTTCTTACTCCTGCTGCCCCCAGGCCCTGACCCTGGTGGCAGGGGTAAGTGCCTGTCTGTATGGAAGGGGAGAAGTCACAGCCTGGCCACTGCCTGTGCAGCGATGGGCTCTGCTCCCCTCGGGCACAGTGTCTCAGTGTTCCTCTTCTCCTGGGGAGCAGGACAACCTGACTCGTCCTTCTCAGATGTGCTTCCTTTCCACCACAGGCTCAGCGAGGGAGCCAGGGGCCTGCTGTGGCCTCAGAGACCGTGGTGCCCATGGTGGCCCCTGCCTTGAAGGTGTTGGACAAACCAGCCCTGCCACACACCGCTGTCATCACCCCAGCCCCTGAGGGGCAAGACGGGCCCCCCAGCCCCCTGAGTGAGGCCTCCAGTGGCTACTTCTCACACAGCGTCTCCACCGCCACCCTATCAGACGCGCTTATCCTCAGCCTGGATGCCACGGGCCCAAGTGGGCAGACGCCTGGCCCCTCGGCTGTGCAAGGCCAGGCCCCAGAGGCAGAGCTGGCCTCTCCCTCTGGCACACAGAACCACCCTGCAAACCCAGAAGAGTCCCCAACACAGTCTGCCCCCCACCTGGAGCTTGAGGTCCCTAGGCCCCTGTTGCCACCAGACCCCCTGGCACCCGCGTCCCCATTCAGGATCCGAAAGGTGCGCACCTCGGAGCTGAAGTCCTTCACGTGCATGCTGGGCGGCAGTTGCTCTGGGGCTGAGGAGGACTTGCTGGCCACAGTGGAGCCCAGAGACCCTGGAGAGCAGGCTGCTGGGAAGCGGGAAGTGGCGTCGGACTCTGAGGAAGCCAGTGAAGTCCCCGAGTGGCTCAAGGAGGGGGAGTACGTGTCTGTGGGCACCACCAAAACGGGCATTGTGCGGTACATCGGCCCAACTGACTTCCAGGAGGGCACATGGGTTGGTGTGGAGCTTGACCTGCCTTCCGGTGAGTGCGGGGGAGGGTCCCTGGAGCCAGGGACGCGGGGCGGGCGCCTAAATCAGGAACAAGCCGAATGAGTTTGCTTACTTAATTCTGGAAAGTTCCTAGAAACTTGGGCCAAAAGGCTATTAGACATTTGGTGGGGTTTTTGCTAGTTTTTTCAGTACTGGAGACCAGACCCAGGGCCTCTGCGCTGAGCTTGTCACCAGGCCTTGCGAAGTCTTCGGGCTTCCCAGTGGGACTCAAACTTGTGATTCTTCTTCCTCAGCTTCCCAGTGCGGTGGACTCCAGGCCTGTGCCTCTACATCTAGTTGATAATGGCCTTAATGTCCCCCTCCCCCTTGAGATTGGGGTCCTGCTATATTCCGAGTTTCTCAAACTCTTGGGCCAAAGGGAACCTCCCACCTCAGCCTCCTGAGTAGCTGAGAGGACAAACCCCAGCCACCACATCTGTCCTTCAGTATATGCTCCTGGGCCACAGAAGCCTGTGCCTTGCAGTAGCACAGGAGCTTAGTCTTAGTCAAAGGGGAGGCTCTTGTGACACTGGACCCTCCACTCTGTTCCAAGACTTCCTGGGTGCCTTGCCATAGCTGGGTGCTCTGGGCCAGTGATGGGAGGTCCTTTGTAGACTGTGGTTAGGCCGACCAAATAGCTCAGTGGATTAAACCGCCTGCAAACAGGTGCAGGGGCCAGGGGTTCAATCCCTGAGCCTGCTGTGCCAGCCTCACCCCCGGGGCACGCTGAGACAGCAATTGAGACTGGGCGTGCACGGCTGTAACCCCAGCTCTTGGGAGGCTGTAAACAGGCAGATCACTAGGAGTCCGATCTAGTAGTGAGACCCTGAACACCCTGTAGACCCTTCCCTAAAATACAGAAAGGAAAAAAGAATGTAGGTTGTGGTCTACAGAGTCATGAGGGCAAGACTCAGGAGTGCTTTACCCTGGGCTTTTGGGGAGTTGCCTTAAATAGCTTCCTTGAGCTGTCTGATGCAGAGCGCAGCGCAGAGAATCCTGGTTCTGGTGGCAGTGCCCTCCCAGCCCTAGGTGGCCCTCTCTGGGCCTGGCCACATCTTTGCCTGCCACAAGGGCCTTGTCTGCTGGGCTGTGCAGGCCTGTGGGTGCCCTGTCCAGCCTACAGCCCAGCGGTGCCCTGCTGTGGCCTTGGGTCAACTCTGTTCTGGTGGTGCCATGGCTGTTAGCGTGGCTGGTTTTGTGTGGACGCCATGGGCGTGAAGCCTCACACCTGTACTTTGCTGGGCTGTTCTCCTAAATGGCTGTGCCCAGCAGTGCTGGGCAGGCGACTCGGCGGGCTGGGCTCTGTCAGGTCTCCTGGGGCCAGGCTGGTTGCCCGGAGAGGGCAGCTCAAGGTTAGAGCAGGGGTAAGAACAGCTGCTTGAGCCAGGGCTGGAGCCAGGAGGTCTGGTTGGGGCCTGAGCCATGCAGCCATGGAGCCACAAGAATCCACCATGCCCACAGCCTGCTGTATGCCATCCTGGGTGACAGCCGTGCCAGTGGTAATGTGTCTCTGGGTCCTGTGCTCCCTGTGAAGTCACTTGCTACTTTGAAATTCATAATTTGGCATAGAATGGCTTGAACTGGAAGTGATTCTAGAAGATTAATGTCACACAGGCTGGGAATTTGTTTTAAATCTGCCTCTCCTGAAGTATAAAGGGGGAGTGAGAAGGAAGTTTATGTCTAGTTGAACTCAAGAATTAAAGAGAGATTAGCAAATTATTTAATTTGTGCAGTGTGTAAGTAATTCCATAGTGCGATCCAGTTCTGCTCTAGATTCTGAGGATGCCGCCAAGTCCCCGAGGTAACTAACTGCACTTTCATTCTTGAGAAGAGAAAATTGCCAAGTGAATGGCTAAGGCTTCAAGAGCAGCACATCCCTGGGGGCAGGGAGAGGGGGTGGGGGACAGACGACAGGGAGGGAAGATGCAGCTGGGCCAGCAGTGAGGGTGCATGAGCTGAGGACTCCTGGGAGCCACGTCCCCAAGGGTCCTGGGGCCCTGCTAAGCAGTCTTTCTCTAGAAGGCATCCAGGGTGTAGAGCTCTTATCTTGGAGAATAGGTGCTGGTAGAGAGTGAAGCTGGGGAGGGGCTGCAGACATCCAGAGAACAGGTGAGGTGGGGCATGGTGTAAATTGCGGTGCTCAGGAGGCTGAGGCAGGAGGATCACCAGAAATTCAAGGCCAGCCTAGGCTACATAGCAAGATAACCCTGCTTTAAAAGAAGGAAACCAACAAAACAAAGATAAAAACCCCAGATGCCCAGGCAGAAAGGGATGAGGGTTTGTGGTAAGAGGCTTAAGGCAAGAGATGTTCTGCCCATGCCACCCTTCCTGATGGAAAGTCATTGTGCCCACTGGAGGGGCAGGACCTAGTGCTGTCTCCATTGTCCCTCCGCAGGGCCACAGACTCGGTGAGCCCATCCCAGGTGCCCGTGTGCCCTGGCCTGAGGCAGTGCTTGTGAAGCCGCTGGGAGGGAGGTGACAGGTCACGGGGCTCATCTCCCTGATGTCCCTTTTCTGTTCCCTACAGGAAAGAACGATGGCTCGATAGGAGGGAAGCAGTACTTCAAGTGCAACCCTGGCTACGGGCTGCTGGTGCGGCCAGCCCGGGTGCGCAGGGCCCAGGCCGCTGGGCGCAGGCGCAGCACAGGGCTCCGGGTGCAGGGTGCCCCCGAGGCCCGCCGCAGCACCACCCTCTCCAGCTCTGCCACCAACCTGGCCTCGCTGACGGCTGCCCTGGCCAAAGCTGATGGGAGCCCCAAGAATGTGGAAAACCGGAAGTCCTGGGCCAGCTGAGTGCAGGCCTGGTGGCCAGGGATGGGACCTCATGAGCAGGGCCGTGAATGCTTTTTGCACGATGCAGGGCTGGTGACCCCCCTAGTTCCCGGCTCCCCGGGATTCCGGAAGCTTTGCTTCTTCCCTTCCTCAGGGGTGGAAGATGAGGCCTTTTGGAAGCCAGTGGGCCTGTGGGATGGGACCGAGGCCCTGGGCCACAGCCTTGGAGAGCGATATCCCTGTTGGGATTGCGTGGTGTCTGCCTCTTTCTTACTCCGTGACCCCACTAATGCCTTAATTTAAACTCTGGCCCTAACTGTCCTTGCCATGCCCAGCAAGGGTTTTGCCCTCCGTCCCGAGTGCCAGCTACCTTAAGTGCCTCTCCCCATCCCATCACACAGATGCCCAGGAAGGGGTCTTGGTGGGTGTCCTGGCATCTTTAACCTGGTTACCATTTATTCCCTTCACAGAATGCTTGGAACGTATTTATTTGTATTTATTTTTCCAAATCAAAATTCCTTTTGAGCCTCAATCACGTCTGCCCAGGCTTCTGCCTTCGTCCTTGGCCACTGGGCTCCTGCCTGGGGGTTGGGGCCTGGAGGGGCCTGGGCCGCAGCGCTCGTAGTCCCTTCAGGACAGACACCCAAGTGGCCTTACTGTGAGGAAAGGCGACCGGTCTGGGTGGCCTGCTCTGATGACAGAAAGGTTGGCTCACTGCTACATTGAGTGCAGCTTGGCGTTGGGGACATCCTGGGCCATGTTATGCTTGGCGGTTCCTGGGCTCTGATGGGCTGGACAGTCGGCCAGAGATGCCAGCAGATTGATGTCACTGGGGACCAGGCCCAGCCCTGAGTTGTTCTGGCCTGGCTGAGCCTGCGGTGTTGGCCTCCATCACAGGGGAGTGGTGTGTGTGTGTGTGAGGAGGGGGACAGATTCTGGCCCAGGTACTCCAGGCCGCCCCAGGATACAGGCAGGACACCCTCAGAGCCTGTTCCTGTTCCTCTACTTTGTTCCTGAACTTTCACAAAAACTCTTGTAGCAGAATCCCTGGATCTCGGGGGTCTGAGCTTGTGGCAGAAAGTGGTGCCAGGCCCTTGCCTCTGGTTGGGGTGGCGCATGTGGTGGCCTCAGCCCCCATGGCCTGGCCCAGCGTCCAGCTGATAGCCGCATTCTACTTGGTGTCACTAACTGTGTGTGTCACTACCCATGGCAGGACTCTGGGCCCACCTTTCACTTGTACAGGGCCCAGGCAGGAGACACCAGCATCTTCTGTTTCCTAGGTGCTGCGTGCGGACACCAGGGTCTGGCCTTGGGGTCCTGCGGGTAGGACCCTCACCATCCTAGGGGATGGTGTGGCTATCTGTGGGGAGCCCCCACTGGAGGCAGCCTTGATGTGGCTTCCTGCCTGTTTTTGGCTGGTACTTAAGGGACAGCTGCCAGGTGGGTCTTGAGTGAGCGCCATCAGTTTGTGGGGCTCTGCTCACTGTGCCCCTGTCCAGCATGGGCTGGGTGGTTAGGTGCTACACGCCACCTGTTCCTTGCATAGTGTGTCCAGACTGGTGGTTGTGGGAGGAATCAGTGCTCCTGAGAACTCCCTGGGGGAGGCCACCCAGAGAGTATGTAGAAGGGGCTACCTTGAAGTGTGAGCACAGATGTCAGCAGAGTAGGTACGCGGTGGTGGGCCTGGCTGTCCCCGGTGGGGTTCCGTGCTGTGTGCTCAGTCAGGGAGACCCCGGGCAGAGCAGGAACTGCAGGCGTGCCGCACCAGGTGGCTGCTTGCTGGCACCTCGGAGCCTTGAGCTGCCTGGTTCCAGCCTGGCATAGTGGGCTGACTCCTTCGGCCACCCACCTCCATTTCTCCTTATCCTGCTGCCGACAGTGTCTGGGAAGCTCGGCCTCCTGAGATGCTGCTGCCACGGCTGCCCTGGGCCTCTGCAGAGCGCCCAGACCTACAGATGCAGCCCACACTTCAAGCGATCCCTGCAGGCTGCACCCCCATGGGTGTGGAAAGGTGTCCCCAAGACTTCTGTGCTCCTTCCTTGGCATGCCTGGCTGTGTGTTTTTCAGAAGCAGTGTGGGGTAGCTCACGCTGGCAGCATGTTGGAAGCTTATCCCAGCAGTGGTCTTGGGAACTGTTCTGGGCTTGGGGTCCTGCTAGGGCAGTGGGGGTCACCTCTGGAATCTCAGTCCAGCAGGGAGCAGCAGAGCCGGGCCCTGGCCCTCAGATCTCACACAGCCTGCGTCCCCCATTGTGCCTGAAGACAGTCTTGCAGCATACTGACCACAACAGGCAGGGCCACTGCGGCGACATCCACCTCACCTGGTGGCCTGTGTGGTCTTAGTCCTCCCCACCCGTGGCCTGGTGGGCAGCCTGCAAGTGGTGGGGATGAGCACTGGTGGGGATGGGGACACAGCTGCTCTGTGCTGGACCAAGAGGGCAGGATAGGGACCCTGCTGAGACCAGAGAGGAGGGAGGGCCTAGGGAAGAGGCTGGGGGTTCCCAGGTTCAGTATTGAGGGAGAGGACGGCACTGTGATCCGACAGTGAGCAGGCCACTGGCTTAGACGGTGCCGAGGTCCCCGTCCTTGGTGTTTGCTCCCATGGTAGGTAGCATCACCCAGGGTGAATGCTCTGGTGTGCCTCTTCCTTCCCTGCCTGTGGCTGCCTGGGCGCTACCCGCCTGCAGCCCGAGGCTGTCTCACCCAGATGGCAGGACCTGGCCACCTGTCAGGTTGTCCTGGGGCCAAGTGCAGCCCACTCTGTGCCTAAGCCACTGCCCGAGGCAGCTTTCTCATGGTGCCTTTCTGGTGGCTGCAGATACTAAGCGGTGTTAGGAGAGTATGGCTCAGCTTCCCTAGGTGTGGATTTTGTAAATAGAATGAGTTCATGTGTAAAGAGGTGACTTTGTTTCAAGGGTTAGAGTGGTTTGGTACACTTCAGTAGGAGGTTTGAAAAAATCCAAAGACTAATGAATTGTAAAGACTTCAGTGGTTTGTATTGTACGATGAACTAAACCTCTGTAATTTTGTACCATGTGCCTTTCCACCAAATGACCAGCAGCTTCTAAATAAAAGCTTCCAGATTGCTTGCCTCCACCCGACCCGTCTTGCTGCTTCTCCCTTCACCCCAGTATGGTTCATGCGCCCTGAAGACAGCTCCTAATCATGGCCCCGTTCTCTACAGTGGTGGTGGGCTCTTGCAGATGGAGACCAGGAGGAGGAAGGGTGGGATGAGGGGCCCCTTGGGTGCACCCCTCCGCAGCCCAGGACCGAGCTGGCCAGCACTGGACCAGGGCGCTGGAGCGCCCACGCCGTGGCGGGTCTCCAGCCCGCCACATACATTAGCCTTGTGTGGAAGCCAGAAGCTATAGGGACTTTGGGAGGTGTGAGAGCCAGGGAGCTGGAGCTGGCAGCAGACAGGGACTTGTCCCCAGCTGTCTGGCAGGGCTCACTGTCCCTCAGCCTGTGACGGACCCACTCTGCACAGGGCCGGGGACAGAGCATCTCTGCTGTTGCTACAGAGATGGGCTGTAGGCCAAGGTGCTTTGGGAATGAGGATGAGGGTTGTGACAGTGCCCAGGTCAAATCCCAGGGGACAGTGAGATTTGCTGTCACTCTTGGAGGCCTTTTGTGCTGATAAGGCCACCTCCTGCAGATATCTGGCTATGTGCCCAGCAAGGGACCAGAGGGCACAGATGGTGGTGACTTTGGCCTATGTGCTGAGGTGACCAGGCCTCCTTTGCCTGCCAGGGGATCCCAGGCCCACAGGCCAGCATCAGCATGGGACTCACTGTGGCCCCTGCTAAGGACCGCTCGCTCTGATCCCCACCCCCCGCCCCGGTGAGTATGTCACTCAGCCCTTGTCTCACAATGTCCTTGTGGATGCAGGCCCCAGCAGTCATCAGCCAGAGTGCGTCAGGGCTTGTTTATATTCACAAGTGCAGGAGAGTTGTTCTCAGAGCTTGGCACTGCCAAATGGACAGGACGTGGCAGCCAGAAGCATCTCTGCTCAGAGTGAGGCAGGAATCTGAAGAACTGACCCTGACCTCGCTCTAAAGAGAAATCTTCAAGTTGTAGCTTCCTCACAACGCTGTGGCTAGCTGCTGTCTGCAGCAAGCTCTGGGGTTTTTTACCTTTGCTCAGCCCCCAAATGATCCTGATGGATATGACATCAGCTCACTTGTTCAGGTGCTGTAAGGAACATGTGCACCTGTCCCAGCCTTGCCTTGTGTGCTGGGCAGCCCATGATGTGGAGGGCACAGGCTCTAGGATGGGGACAGGGCAGTAACTTGGGGAGGACAGACAGGCCATGGGCTGAAGGTCGGAGCTCCTATGCAGTTTGGGGCCAAAGCACAGAGCATGCATGGGGTGGGGACCACCCCATTAGGAGCTTTGCGGGCTGGGGAGATGGCTCAGGCGCTTCCCTGGCAAGTGCAAGGGCCTGAGCTCAATCCCTGGTTCTGCCAATAAATAAATAAGAAAGAGAAAAAGAAAGAAAGAAGAAAGAAAGAAAGAAAGAAAGAAAGAAAGAAAGAAAGAAAGAAAGAAAGAAAGAAGAAAGAGAAAGAAAGGACCTTTGCTCCCAATGCTAGTCCTGCCCTTGCTGCGTCCACTTGGTAACCGTTTTTGTAGTCTAAACGTGTGCGCCCAAAGACCGCTTACTCTGAAGGGTTCTCTGGGCTTCGGAGCTGTGCACAGAGGGCACGCTGGGAGAACACAGAGCTCAGTGGGGGACCTGAAAGCCACTGCTGCAAGCCTGTTAAGGAAGGGCGGGTAATAGCTTGTTTTGATTTTTTTGCTGTTACAGGGGAAGCCCCCAAAAAGCTCCTATGTGACAGGGAAAGGGAAATGGGAGTGGAGAAAGACAGGGTGGGCGTGGGTGAGGCAGGGAGTGGGAGGTGGGACTTCTGGGAGCCACCTTCCCAGGCAGCTTTGGGACCCTGATCCTTTGCCCAGGACCCTGGCCCAGGGCCTCTGAAGAGCCTGAGGGACCTGTACCCCCTGCGGTGCTGGGCACTCGAACCATGAGCATTTGGTTGGACCCAAAGAAAGCCTAGGCAGCCTCAGTTCAGTTATACATTTTATTTTCTAATAGGTACAATACTAAAATAAACACAAATTAAAAAAAAGTTTTATTAAAACAAAACTGTACAAAAAAGCAGTATACTACATTTTAATTACAGAACAGTCTACTGTCCAAAAGGCACTAATCCAGAATAGGAGATACAATGATACAGGACTCATTGGAACTATTTTAATCAATACAATTGAGCACTTGTTTCTCTGATTGCTGCCTCCCAGAAACAAGGGCTTCCTGCTACAGTCATCACATACCATCGAGTCCGAGTCCTACGGGCGAAGCTGCAGTATCACTCTCCTTAGGGCAGCTTCTATGGGGATGGCACTCAGCCCCGGCTCAGGGGTCCTGGGTGGGCCTCACAGCCACTGCCCCCTCTCACATTTAGCACCGGCAGAGTGGGTTTGGTGATACTCGGGGACCAGGCTGGGGTCTGGCCGAGGAGCGGCAGGAGGTGTGGGGCCACCTGGTTGGAGAAAGGCAGCGAGGACTTGGGAGCAGGGCGCCGTGCCAGCTGGTGCCACCTGCTGCTCCCGTGGGGCGAGTGGCCCCGTCCTGTTTGGGGCCGGCCCGTGTCCCTCCTCACGGACCCTGGGCACAGTCTGTACTGGAGGGAGTCAGTGCGTGTCTGCAGGGGTGGTTCATTTCTACAGAGGTTCTGCTTCCCAGAGGCAGGCAGGAGCCAAGCCTGCCCAGGCCTCAGGAGTCACGTCTCTCCCTCAGTGCCACCTTGGGACCACAAGTGGCTCTGGTTCTGCTGCGCAGCGCTGCGCCCCACTCCCCCTCCGTGCTGAGTGGCCTAGACAAATCTCTAAGGTCCAGACTTGTTTTCTCTGGACTCTGGCCCTAAGGAAGAGAGATACTGCAGCCTTCCAAACAGTGTCATACACAGAAGACAAAGACAGGCATCTGATGTTAACAAAAATAAGTAACAAAGAAATAGGATTAAACCAAATCTCTTCTCACAGCATCCTATACTACATCCTCCTTCTGCTTAGCAGAAAATTGTACGTACACAAAAATACAAATACACAATTTTGTAGAACAGTCTGATTTTAATATATTTATATATATTTATATTTATATGAGTGGCAGGTTAGTTCATTATATAGAGCTTTTTGCACTTTTGGCTCATACGCAACAAGGCTTATAAATTCAGCTTTAGCTTTCATTCAGGTTTTATAGCTTTTGAACAATTGTTTTCACATTTAAAGCAGCATCCAATTTGCACTAGGATTTGTGGTGATTACAGGACACAAGGATGGGTGGGATACATTCCAGTGTGTGGCGTGGAAGGAGGGTTCCGTGTGACGGAGCTTACCATGGTGACCCTTGAGGTAGACTGAACACCTTACAGCAGACTCAGACACAGGTGTGACGCCCTCAGGGACACATGGTACACAAGATGGAGACAGAGACCAGAGACACCAGAGGGAAACACTGAGACGAAGACACGACAGCCAAGGCAGGGATGCGTGGCCCCTCCCGGCCACTTGGCTATTTGGCAGACGCTGAATGCTCCACAGCCTCAGGGAGGCGGCACAGGAGCCACTGAGGCTGGGGCTGACTCGCGCTGTGCCCGCTGTGCCAGCCCACACCCGGCCCCGCACACACGACAAGCTGCACACAGTGTGCGATGGAACTGCTGCTTGGCAGCTGCTCTTGCAGCAGTG